TTGCAGAAGCAGGATCTTTTCCAGTAAACATTTTCTGTGTTATATTTACAATTAAAATATGAATATAAATGAGTTTTTCCTACCTGGAAGATCCACTGGAGATTGTCTGAATAAGAAACTAAATCTGCCACTAGGTGTCTGTAAATGAGTCAAAGTCATTGAGTCATTCACACAACTGATTCATTCAGAAGTGATTCTCTTTACTGGATTGTTGGTTCACAATAATATGCCTGAAACAATCCATGTGTGATCAATAATGTAAAACACAAAATACCTTCGGGCAGATGATGGTGTTTTCTCACTGAGGTCTGGTGGTGGATAACCCATTGACCGGTCACTCTTCAGAGACACAGAGCTGGACACACATGATCCTGATCTCACACTGAACACACAAACACACCAGAGGAATAAACTGCAGGACAAACTTCAGTCTCCTTAGTACACCTTGTCTTAAGACTGACAGATGAGACAATTATTGAAAAAAAAAAAAACACATTTCACCAGGCACCAAACTAGCACAAAGTAACTCTTAGCTCAAGGTCAGGCTGATCAGGTCTGTTAAACAGATTAGACTTACAGGGCGTACAGAAAGTATTCAGACCCACTCTTTGTTCTGTTGTGGTCATTTGCTAAAATCATTTAAGTTCATTGTTTCCTCATTAATGTCCACACAGCAGCCCATACTGACAGAACAACACTGAACTGTAGACGTTTTTGCAGATTTATTAATAAAGAAAAGCTGAAATATCACATGGTTCAGACTCTTTGCTGTGAACTCAGCTGCTGTCCATTTCTTCTGATCCTCCTTGAGATGGTTCTTCACCTTCAGTTGAGTCCAGCTGTGTTTGATTACACTGATTGGACTTGATTAAAGCCGCACACCTGTCTATATAAGAGCTTACAGCTCACAATGCATCTCAGAGCCAATGACAATCATGAGGTCAGAGGAACTGCCTGAACAGCTCAGAGACTGAATTGTGGCAAGACACAGATCTGGCCGAGGTTACAGAAACATTTCTGCTGCACTGAAGGTTCCTCAGAGCACAGTGGCCCCATAATCCTTTAATAGAAGATGTGTGAGACGACCAAACATTTTCCAGAACTGGCTAAACTGAGCTGTCAATAGATCTGTCAAATGCTCTGATCCACTGATTTACAACAAAATAAATGTAAAGGTATTGAAGCTTCATGAAGCAGCGCTCCAAAATCAGCCATCAGCTCTGTTTACTGGAGTACTCTTGTGGATTAGCGGTGTGTTACTCGTTCATGTACACTCAGAGCGTGTTTCGCTGGTCTGTGTTTTAATCTTCTGTGTTTATTGTGAGCTGTCTGGATATTGGATTACTCTTTGTGGATTACTCTTGATTATGATTGATTGCTTGTTTTGTCCCCTTGCCTGTATAAAAGATGTTCTGAATAAGAAACTAAAACCATCACTAGCTGTCTGTAAATGTCTAAATTCACCAAAAGTCATTGAGTCATTTGATTCATCCAAACAACTGATTCATTTACTAATGACTATATTTTCTGGATTGTTGGTTCACAATAACATGTTCAATACGGTCCAAGTGTGTTCAATAATGTAAAACACTAAATACCTTTTGACTGATGATGGTGTTTTCTCTCTGAGGTCTGGAGGACGACCATCTTTAGAGCAGTCACTCTTCAGAAACACAGAGCTGGACACACGTGATCCTGATCTCACACTGAACACACAAACACACCAGAGGAATAAACTGCAGGACAAACTTCAGTCTCCTTTACAAGAGTTTATCAGACAAATATGAGTTTGTTCAGTTTAATTCAGCACAGACTAATACTTGACTGAAGGTCTGTCTGTTGTCATGTTGAAATAATGGTGTAAAAACAGAGTCAATACCTGTGTTTCTCTGAGAGAGAGTCCTTTACTCGCTCCTCTGCCATACTGCAGCTAAAACACCAATGCAGACATTAGCAGAGCTTTCAGCAAACAATCATACATACACACACATACATATATATATATATATATATATATATATATATAGTCCTTAACATGAATGCAGTTGGTTTAACCCTGATCTGACATCTCCGCTGTTTCACATTTGATTTAAGGTAAATGCATGTTATATAGAGTTTATCAAGAGAAGTTCAGGTTCAGCCAATTGTTGATTTAGTGAGTATTAAAATGTCTCTATACTAAAGAGGCTGTTTGGTTAATGAGTTACTCTGACGGTCAAAGGTTAAATGCAGTGTTGTTTAAGGATCGTTAGCTTGTTGTTTTCAGCTTTTCTTCCTGTTCAACTGGAAGGTCTGCTTTAACTTTACTTTTGATTTGGTGACTCTGAATGTTTAGAGTTATATTTAATGCTGAATTATTGGACACTATTGAGTCAGTCTGATATAGAAGAGCACAAACACTTTAAAGGGATTAAAAATAAAGCTTTTAGACACAGTGTTTAAATGAGCGTGCTTGACTCAGTGTTTAATCTGTGTTTGAGGATTTGATCTTCAGGATCAGACATTTAAATCACACTCACACATATAAACCCTTCATCATCTCCACAAATCAGCGTAATGTAGAAGTGTTAAACTCACATGCAGAAGTACAGACGCTCTTGTGCAGCAGGAACACAATCTGAGCTCTTTCACTCTTTCACTCTTTCACTTCACTAAAACACACCTGTGTGATCTACAGGTAGATCCTGAAATATTATTGGCTCCACTGAGTGACACTGACATGAATATTCATGAGACTCTCCTGACGATGGGCGTGTCCTGAAGACGACACACAAAGCACAGGAGTTGAAGATATCTGTGCAGATTCTCTGAGCACGAGTGTGTTGAAGCAAGATTTAGAGAAGGTATTAAAGATGAAATCTGAGAGGTCTCTGATGAATATTTACAGCAATGTTGAACCTAAAAAAAATAAGATTAGAGATTTATATATAAATGAATAATGTTTAAACAGAGGACAAATCAAGAAAACCATTAAACAGCATTACATTCAGTTCAAATGTTGTAGTTTGTCTTTTATTTATTGTTTGCAGCACATAATTTGAATGTACATGTGTTATCTCTCTATTTCTGAAGGGGTTTCCAAACTTATTTTAATCAATATATCTGTTTATCAATACTCTCTATTACAGTACAGATGTTTAATACTATTTTTTTATGGTCATTTTTCAAAATTCAGGATAAAAAGTCAATAAAAATATGAATAATTTTCCTCAGAGACTGGAAGACGGGGTGGATGTGTTTTGGTTGTGACAAATGATTTATTATTATCAGTAAAAAATCTTACTTAGCGGCTTTTATTCATTTATTTGTTCTTTTTATTATTTGTTTAAAGAGAAATAACATAAGTAAATGCATAGTTATACACAAATCATTATAAAGGGAATGTTAAATTAAATACAGATAACTTAATCATCTGAATAGATCTTTACAGTAACTCTGTATTGAAATCAGGGAATGATTAAAACCTTTAGATGGGTGGAAAAGAGTTGACAGATTCAGGATCAGTTTGCACATTGTGTTTAGTGAATGTGATGTTTTCCAAATAGTGTAAGAGTTTTAGTTCACAATCCATAAACAAGATTATCTTAATCAGTTATAATGATCAATTTACAGAACACTGAAATATAATAATGAGATCACGAGAAACCAGAATAGTTTAGTGTAATCACAACTGAAACAGTCATTTAATAATAGTGTCTGACTCATTTTACAAATCTAACACATAAATCATTACATGGCTAATATATATCTGTAATATTTTAACATGGCTTTCCTTTACTTTATTAAGAGGTGGTTTCCTGGACCAAGATTAAGCGTAGTCCTAGACTGAAATGGCCATTTAGATCAGACTAACAGAAATGTGCTTTCTCTGTCACGGTTTTAAAAGTCTAAGACTTAGTCTAGTCCAGAACTGAACAGGCTGATTTCCTGGAGGAACACTAGAGCAACTTCAGGACTAAACTGAGGCTTAAATTAAATCTATCAGGAGGCAGGTTTAACTTCAGATTCATTTCATTTGGAGGACACATGGATTACCTGAACTCTGTCAATGATGATCAGCGCTTTCCACCAGCCAGGCAAGTTCTTGCAGACAGAAGTGACCCAGTGCAAGGTTTTGATGAATTAAGTGTTCGAGATGCATGAAGTAAACCATTTGTGAATTAACAGCACATCACGTAAACCACCCTGATGCTGGAACCCAGGCTAACTACAAGGTACTGTTCAATGAATATAGAAATGTTCCAGGAGTCATCGGTTGCATAGAGGGAACCCATATTCCCATTAAGTGTCCCTCTACTCCAGATGCGGAGGAATACAGGAACCAAAAGAACTGGGTTTCCATCAATGCCCGAGGTGTATGAACTCCCCAGTTAGAGCTCTCAAACATTGCTGCATGGTGGAAATGTGCAACTCATGATCCTCCTCAGCTCATCTCTGTATACTCAGTTTGACAGAAGAGATCATAATGGAGTTTTGCTTGGTGACAGTGGGCATGCTCAGAAGGGTTTCAGCTACAGCCAGGCTCATATGCGCACAAGGGCTTTAGTCGAGCGCATGTTCGGTGTTTGGAAGAGTCGTGTTCAGTGCCTTAGGAAAACACCCAGATTGAAAGCACACTGTAAAAACTAATCTATAGAATTTACCCAATAAATCTGAGGTAACAATTTGCATCGACTTTGGCTGGGTATATTTAATGCCATATATTGAGTATAAACTATTGACTTTGGCTGGGTATATTTAATCCCATACATTGAGTATAAACTATCGTCTTTGGCTGGGTAGATTTAATCCCATATATTGAGTATAAACTATCTGAAGTAAAAAGCTATTAAATACTACAAAAATTGGGTAAAAAATACCTCACATTTATGTATATATTCAACACCTACTTATTAGGTAAAAACTATCTCTTTAAATCGAAGTTTATTAATATCAGTTACCTAATAACAATTACTTATTCAGAGTAGGTAAAATCTACCTCTACAATAAAGACATTTAAATTGGTTATCAACTCAATGTTTTTATTCCAAAAAATCAGAAAACGCACTTAAAATAAAGTGCAGCACAACAGCATTACACAACATTTCAAGTAATGACATGTTTTATAACTCGCTGATCTATCAAATATTTCAATAATGTTGGATAATAAAACATTTCCCTGTTTTAGGACATCCAGATCAGAGCAGAAAAGAAGTAAGCAAAGAAAAGGGAAAAAAAAGGAGAAGTGAGGAGATTAGAGCAGAGCTGGATGTCCAATCACATCAAGATTTTCTTTTATCTAAACTCTTAGACTAAACTTGTGTCTTTTCAGATTTACACAACAGTAACTGACCAGTGGTCTGTTATCCATATACATTCATAAAACAAAATAACTGAACAGTCTTGCTTATATGCAGCACTGATGCACCAAATTATCAAAACACACAGAATAAAGTGCTAAATAAAGTATAACAGCTTCACACAACAATGAACAAATAAACCTGTTTTATAACTCATTAAGACAACAGTTTCAAATGTTGTTTCAATAATGTTGGATAATAAAACACATCTAGATCAGAGAAGAAAAGAAAAGTGAGGAGAGAGGGGAGCAAAAAAAGGAAAATAAAAAAGAAGTGAGGAAATCAGAGCAGTGCTGAATGATCAATCACATCAAGATTTTCTTGTATCTAAAAACACAGAATAAAGTGCTAAATAAAGTGCAACAGCTTCACACAATAATGAACAAATAAACCTGTTTTATAGCTCACTAAGATAATTTTCAAATGTTGTTTCTGAATAATTGGCTACTCGCATACAACTCTTTCAGAGGCCACTTATTATATTTTAAAAGGCAAAACCACACACACAACCTCGTTTTTCTGTGCATGTACAGTATTAAATATAAAAAAAGATAAAAGAAAAACAAAATACCATAATTTTTTTTTTTTTTGTCCTTACTCTCACTCTCGCAGATAGGATCAGAATGAAATAAGCAAACAAATGGGGAAGAGGGTAGGTGAGATCAAAATTGTTCAGGCCACTATCTATTAGTATTCCTTTTCTGTCAATATGGGGGAAAACACAGAGCAATGGAGAGGGCTGAGAAACAGTGGATGGGTCTGTGTCTGTATGTGGAGCAAATGAGGGAAGAGAAGAAAAATATAAAACAGTCCATTACAACTCCATCAAGGTATGTCCAAACAAAGAATCCCCTTTAAACAAGGAGAGAAATGTCTACTGCATAAGCTTATTTTTGAGGCTGTGGACTTTCTTCAGAAGTTTTGCCCCATCAATTTCCAAAAAAAGTTTTTGAAAAGCTTCAAATGTGTTCTTCAGCTCCTTTGGATATTCAATGTTGATTGCATATATGAGTCCCATCAGCAGTATGCATGCCTTTGTTCGGCTTCCACATCCTTCCATCACTTGGTTTCCCTCGATCACAATAGACAAATCGTCCTCCTCAGCCATGACATTGTGCTTCACAATCACCTTCATTGTTTTGTCTGTGTACTCCTCACATTCCTAAGTGTTAAAAAGAAAGAAACAAAAAGCACACACAATTTTATTTCAAGATGCTCTTTCAATATATTTCAGTTTATCTAAAGGAGAGCAGAAGGGAGTAGAAGACAAAAGGAAAAGGGAGATATAAGAGGAGGATCCCTTGAGTTAATCAAGAATATGTTATCCATATGACATACCTGCCATTCATGGAAAAGATCTTCTTGTCTTTCACCGAGGTAGTTAATGAGGCAGCAGACAACAGCATCTCTTTTTTCCTCAATGTTCTGTGTCTGTAGGGAGATACAATTTAGCAGAGTGGGGGGTTATTTGCATGTACTAAGACTGAATTCCGGCCCTGCAATAGACTGGCGACCTGTCCAGGGAGAACCCTGCCCCTTCGCCTGATAAATGCTGGGTTAGCTTAAGCTTCTCTTGACCCGGATAAAGCAGCAAAGAAAATAGATGGATAAGACTGAATTCACACACTGATGTTAAAAGTTAGTTTAGGTTGGTAAGGAGCTCAACTTAACACAACAAAGCAATTGTTTACAAATAATTTAACTTTTAATTCCCTCATATTAATAATTATATATCTATGAAAAAATAAAATAACATACATTTGAACTGTCCAGCAGAGGACGCATCTTGCAACCAGCTGCTCCTCCTTTGGCACGCATTAGCCGCAAAAGACCAGGTGTGTACTCATCAAGCTTCCGCAGGAATGTCTCCTCCAAGGAAACCGTTGTGATGCGTCTGAACTCCTCCTTGATCTAGGAAGTAAAAAGAACAAAAATTATATGTTAAATGACAGACCAGATCTCATAGTAATCACATGAAAGTATCTTAGTGGGGGGAAAAAAAAGAAAAATTCTCACCTGAGCCTCAGTGAATAATGCTGGCCACCTTTCTTTAAACACATCAACAGAGGGGCTGAGGCTGACCACTTCAATTCTTCGGCTAGAGAAGGTTTTATTCATTTTATCTGCAATTATCTTTGCATTGTTTTTCTTTGTAATTTCACAAATTAATTCAAGTCTCTCTTTCTCCAGTGTCTCTTGGCTTTCACCAGTAGGGTGTGGAGGGAGGTAATTAACCTCTGCTTTTTTGGCCTTTTTTATATTTTTTAAAGGCCCTACATCAGCGGGATGCTTCCTTTTTAAGGTGTTGATTTCAATTTCCGGGTAAGAATATTTTCGAGATCTTAGCTTGGCACGGTAATTGTGCATCTTGTTTTTTATGCGCTGCTGCCAGCCATATAATCCCGCAAATGAACCTGGCTCCCTAAGACACGGAAACTTAGAAACCAAGGCTTCAGCTACTGAGAGGATCTGCTCATTGGTTGGGTAAGCGGTGTATGAAAAAATTACTTTTGCAAGCTCTTGCATTATTGCTGATTTAATACTGGCATCCATGAAGTGTCTTCCAGTGGCATGATACGAGTTGTTTGCCTCTGCAAGGATTAGTTCTATGTCTCTGGAAAACTCTGGTACTTGGAATGGCACTGGCCATGCAGCAGAGCGACATGAATCAGGAAGAATAATGGTATCACTGGAACTTGAAGATTCGCAGTTTGACACCTCTGAGGATGCATCATGATCTCCAGGGCAGATGTCCGTTTCAGCAGTACTAGCAGGATGGGTGCTCACTGTACTCAATGTAGATGATTCAAATACTGGGTGTAGGTCAAGGGTGATTGTCGGCTCTTTTAGGATCACTTTAACAGTGGCCTTGTCATGCAAGTCAGCAGTTGAGGTGACACTGAAAAACTGATTGTCAAAGTTACTGTCTTGGTATAGTAGTCCAATTTCCCCATGCAATTGGAAAGTTGCAGTAATTATGGAAACAAGATCTTCCAATGTATTTGGAATTCCTGTTGGAAGTTTCAATTTTTGAATGTTGTGTTCTTCTAAAATTACTCTTAACTGGACCGCCATTGTTGATTGTAGTGTGTTTCTTTAGCTGTAGAGACAGAAAGAAAAGAAATTGAGACAGGTTATTAATAGTTGATGAGCTTACTTGCATATGTTTGCTTCAATATTGTTCTGCCAAAGCAATAAACGGATATTTAATGAAGCAGAAATTTTAAGAAATAATCTGATTGTCATTTTTTTAAGAAGAGGTAGATGAGGAAAGAAGAAGGAGGATAATAAGTATTACAATTTTTTCCCATAACTGAGGACTTTGGTTAAGGTAACTACACCTTTGAGGACAATGCGATTTATTTTATTTGGAAAACTTGCATACCTGTAAAGGATACACTTGCGGTGTGGTCGTGTTTGGATGTGTCAGGCCTAGAATGGGTAACAGCTGTCTATCAGTGAGTCTCTGCTTGTGGAGGACAGACAAGAGAAACTGAAGAAAGGGTCAAATAGTGAGTGTCCACATACACAGACTCTGCCTGCAACAGAAATTAAAACAGAAATTACACAAAAGAAATGATCAGACATGTACCTGGGTTAGATTTTGTACAGTTGATTTTGTGTTTATCACAATATAATGTAAATGATCACCTCTGGTGGTTATTCAGGTGTTTGTTTAATATGCAAAATGAATTATGACCCCAGGCATTAAAAAAAACTAATTGCAGAATGGCGATCAATTGGGGAAATAAATACAGTAGTTTATCTGTGCTCCTCTGATCAAGGCAGTCTGTCTGACAAAGGTCAGTTATGCAGAAATGATGTGTTATGTGTACTTAACTCACTAAAATAAAGGCATTGCAATTACATATATTAATATCTATGCTTAGCTTCATAGATGTAATATGCCTCATATACCATATTACAAGATTATAAAAAAATTATTAAACACTGATGTTTAAAAAAATACCAAATATAAGATAAAAAAAATTATTCTAAAATGTTTTAACTGATCCCACAATTTTTTAAAAATGGGATACAGAGGTACTGTTTTTATGTTTCAAACAAGACAAAAGGGAAGTAACGTTAGTGCAAAGCAGTAGCGCTCTCTCTTGTTCTCCCTCTCTCTCTCTCTCTCACACACACACACACACGCACAGCACGGCGGATGCGCTCTTTCACTCACTCACTCTCTCTCTCTCTCTCTCTCTCTCTCTCTCTCACACACACACACACACACACACACACACACACACAGAAAGCACAGCGAATGCGCTCTCTTTCTTTCTCACACACACAGCACGGCGGATGCGCTCTTTAACGCTCTCTCTCTCTCTCTCTCTCTCTCTCTCTCTCTCATTCAAATGTAATCTCTCTCTCTCTCTCTCTCTCTCTCTCTCTCTCACTCACACACACACACACACCCACACACAGCACGGCGAATGCGCCCTCTTTCTTTCTCTCTCTCTCCCTCGGGAGCGCTATATAGTTAGGCCACCCGCTCCGGTTAAAATTACACCAGAGTTACCGACCGCTAACGTTACTGCGTTTTATCTGGAAATTTATTCCCGTGCTCAAGAAAACCGGTCGGGTTCCGCGAAACAGCCGCAGGAATGCAGACCTCTAGCCTGGGGTCAGTTTGTGTATTTGAACACATCAAACCGACGCAAGAAACACAACATACCAAGTTGCCTGACCGACGGGCAGACGTTGCTCAACAGCCGGCTGTTGGCTTGGTGTGTGCCGGGCCATGGTGACGCCAGCGACAGTTTCAAACTTTAATTTCAAGTAATGACATTTTAAACAAATGAACGCAGAATAAAAGTGATGTGTAATATCTCATAATTTCAAAAATGACCTTAAATTGAGCTTACCTTAACTTCTGCTGTTCGATGGCAGCCGTTGAGAGGATCCAGCGTCGCCCAGTCACTCAAAAACGCGGGCTGACGCATGCGCAATTTCAAGCAAAAAACTCACGGTTTAAGGGTATACTTTACTGCCTTTATCAATGTGATGATTGTTACTGTTGACGAATGGGTAGCATATGTAGAATTTACCCATTACTTTTAAATTCCTTGGTTGGCTGCAATAATCAAGTAAATTTTATATGGTTTTCACAGATTATATTTACCGCTCTCAAAAATCACTTTTTTCAGTGCAGGTAGATGCTGCACTGCTGCAGAGACTGTGGCATCTTCTGCTGATGTCTCTGAGGTGGCAGTAGAGTCTGAATCAAATACATTGACTCTGGCTCAAATTGTTGCAGGCGCTTCTGTTGTACCTGCTTCAGTTCATTCTGAGATAGATGGCATGAATGGTCACAGTGTTACGCCAGTATTGACAGAAAATATAGCAGTCACTGGAAAAAGCAACGAGGCTGGAAATGAAGCGGAAATGCAAACTGAGGCATTTTTCAAAGCTCCAATAAAAAGGAGAAAAGGCAGAGGTAAGATGACAATAACACAGACCAAAGAAGACAAGAGCGAGACTGAAAGTGCAGTTTCAGACATTGACAGCGATTCTTCAGACTCCAATGATTCAGGCTGCTCTTTTCTTCATCACTAAATGAGGATGAAGAGCAGCAGTGGTGTACAACACTGAACAACTAACTCAGCTTTCAAGAGAAACAAAGAGACTGAAGCTGAAGACTATTGTCCAGATCCATCTGCTCTTATAAGAGATGTAAAGAGGTGCATGAAGGAAGGAGCTTTCTGTGATAAGGACGTGTACCGTCTTAGAAAATCCATGAGAAAAATGAGAAAACAAATGCGTGAAGATGAAGAACAGGACATGGTGTGATAGCTTCTTCTGTTTTTGACTGTTTCTATCATTTATGAGAGACATTAAGATTGGAGCTCTACACTTGAATGCTGCTAGAAACAGTCAGAAGAGAATGTGTCTGTCTGAGTTTATAAAGATGAAACGTATTGATGTGACCTTCATTCAAGAGTCTCAGAGTGCTTTATTTAATGAAATAGACTGGAGAACAGAATGAGATGCTCAAGTGTTCATGAGTCACATGTCCTCTAATAGTGGAGGAGGAGCTCTATTGCTTTCACAGCAGTTCTCACCAATTCTATGTGGAGAGAAAGAAATAGTCAAAGGACGTTTATTACAAATTAAAGCAAAACTTGAGAATATTTTAACGACTTCTTTAAATATTTACGCTCCTACAAAAGCAGATGAAAGAATAGATTTCTCCAATGCTTTTAGTGCTGTCCTTAAAGATATCAAATCAGAAGAGTTTTTCATTTGAACAGCACAGAGAATGAGAAGAGAGATCCAAATCACTCAGAAACACATCCTGCTTCACTAAAAGTGCTTCCACAATGAGTAAGAGTGTTTGATTTATGCGATGTGTGGAGGAATGATCATCATGAAAATAGACAGCACACTTGGGCACATAGTAAGAATCATTTTATTTCAATGGCAAGGCTTGATAGATTTTACATGTTTCATTTTCAAGCAGATTGTGTCAAAGATTGTACAATAATTCCTGTTGGGTTTTCAGATCACTCTTCTGTTATTTGTACTATAATTGTTCATTCTGTGGAGATTAGGAGTGCCTATTGGCATTTTCATACGTCCCTTTTAAAAGATGAGACATTTATTGAAATCTTTTCTTTATTTTTGGGAATTTTAAAGAAGAAAAACATCTTTATTCTTCACTGCAGCAATGGTGGGATTGTGGCAAGATTCACATTAAACAATTATGCCAAGAAAACACTTTTACTGTCACTAAAGGAGTTCCTGAATCCATGAAGAAACGAGAGGATGAACTAACAGACCTGTTTAACACAACAGCAGCTACAAGCAGAGATCAATCTGAAACCCGGAAATCAAACACAGATTTGCTGGCTGATCTTTGAGGAGTGAAAGCACAAGGAGCATTCATTCATTCAGGTTTAATAAACATCACACAAATGGAGGCTCCTTCTAAGCTTTATTAGTCTAGAACAGAAAAATGGCCAAAGTGGAATTATTCATTCACTAAACAATAATGCAGGAGAGGAACTTTATAATCCAGTGACATACGTAAACATGCTGTTCACTTTTATTCACAATTATACAGATCATATAGAAGTTAAAGATCTCCCAAACACTGATGAAGACTCTAATGCCATGCTTGAGCTCTCATCGTCACAGAGTGAATTATACACAGCGGTAATGAGTATGGGAAGTGGAAAGACTCCAGCTATTGATGAATCCCAGTAGATTTCTGTAAATCTTTGTGGTCTGTGATAGGTGATGATGTTCTTTTGATTCTTGATGACAGTTTGAATAAAGGTTTACTCCCATTAAGCTGCAGAAGAGCTGTAATTACTGTGTTACCAATAAAGGAGACTTGCAAAGAAGAAGCAACTGGAGACCAGCATCACTTTACTGCACCCATTATAAAATACTGTCAAAGGCATCAGCTACACGATTGAGTAAGGTAATAGGTCAAGTAATACACCAAGATCAACATTATTGTATAGCGAATAGATCAGTTTTTGACAATATTTATTTGGTTAGAGATGTTTTAGAAGTAATTGGGTATTAATTGTGGACTGATCTCTTTAGAGCAAGAGAAAGCGTTTGACCGTATACAACATGAATATTTAATAAAGCTTTTAGAAATGTTTGGTTTGAGCGCAGCTTCTGTAAATATGATCAATGTTTTGTACAGAGACATTCAAAGTGTATTAAAAGTCGACGGTGGTCTGAGCGCTGCTTTTACAGTACAGAGAGGAGTTAGACAGGGATGTGCTGTGTCGGGGATGTTGTACACACTGCCTATCCAACCTGTGCTGAATAAACTAAGCTCTGAGATAAAGGGTGTGCGTGTTCCTCATTGTGACGTTTCTCTGCATCTTTCTGCTTGTGCTGATGATGTTGTTGTTTCATATCGAATGCGGAAGATATTCAGAAACTGGATTTTATTGTAAGTGATTTTCAGAAGATCTCCTCTGCTAAAGTCAACTAGGGAAAGAGTGAAGCCCTGCTTGTGGGCAGCTGGAGCGGTGTCCCTCCCAAGTTACCTGGAGGTTTGACATGGAAGAAAGGAGGCTTGAAATACCTCTGGTGAAGATGACTGTGTTCAGAAGAACTGGAATGACACGCTTGAGAAAATACAAGGACTTCTACAACAATGGAAATGGTTTCTTCCCCAGTTATCGTATAGAGGCCGCACACTTATAGTTAACAGCTTGCTGGATCCTCTATATGGCACAAGCTGGCGTGTGGAGACCCCCTATTGGTTTACTACCGAATCTTCAAAGAGAGATGGTCAATTTGTTCTGGGACAACCTACATTGGATCCCTCAAAGTGTTCTCTTCTCACCAAGAGATGAAGGAGGTCAAGGCTTGGTTGATCTTGTGAGTAGAGGAGCAGCGTATAGACTGCAGGTCATCCAGAGACTATTGTTTGGGCCCAAGAGTCTTGAAGAGCCGGTGGTTTTTGTCAGGAGATGACACTCCAGGATTGATGGACATATCAGTATCCAAAACAATGCCACGATTGAGAGACATTGTTGACGAAGCAGACACTGGACTGAGTGAATCTTGCTAAATGTATGGGAATAGGATCAGTAAGGTTTGCACAGGAACTCTGAGATAAACTGAGTGTGATGTTGAATGAAAAACACTGCTGGAGAGTTCTAGTCGGGATCTTTTTATCCCAGATGACGAGGAGTTTTCCCTGATATCAGAATTGAAGCTGTTGTTGGAGATGTTGGGGATAATAGTCCATCGCTGTGTTTTAATGAAAGTGCTGATGTTAGTTCAGCCGAAGGTGAAATATTTGACAGAGATATTGTGGAAATAAATAACGAGCACATTTTAAAAGACAGAACTGACACGGTATGGAGAAACACACTGGCAGTAGAAGAAGTCATGAAAGCAGAATGGAGAATGATCTATAAAGCAGCATTGATGAGAAGAGGAGGACACTTGCAGTGGAGAATATTACATGCTGCTGTAGCTGTGAACACAAATGAGCCCTAATATCAGTGAGACGTGTCCATTTTGTCCAGAGAGAGAAACTATTGTTCATTGTTTTACAGAGTGTACAAGACTTTCTCCACTGTTTAAAGGGGTGGTCCAGAATGTTATTTTTAAGGCTTGGTTGTGTTAATAAGATGCAAAGCAATGTGTGCTCATGTTTAACTTG